GCACCACAAAATTGATTCACATCAGAATCCTGATTCTAATTTACAAAGATTCATAAGCAACTTAAAATGTCCCAAAAATGATTTTTTTAAAATAAAGCAATAAAGCAAATCCAATGGTTTCAGTCTCCATTTTGTAACCACGTGGGACTGACGTCACCTCGCAGCTGGTTCTGGAACATATGCGTGCACAGAAAGCACCAAAAGAAAGAGGAAACTACAAAACTGGAGGAGAGATTCTACTGGCCCTTCATTGAATACAAAGATTTGGGCTCATTTTGTTTCATACTGAATGAGTCTGAGTTTGACATGAGCTCCACTGTGTGCAAGGTTTGCAAAAGCAGCACGACAAAATGGGACATTATGAGGTTTGAGTGAAAAATTGATTTGCATCGAATCGTGGCCCCAAAAATCAGATTTTAAATCGAATCCGGAGATAGTAAAAGATTCCCACCCCTAATAAACATTACTGTGTTGAAATTAAACTTATTTTAGGATTTTCAGTTTTATCTTGACATTTTTCTGAGAATATTCTTGAACATGAAGTCCGATACAGTGACTGGTCCATGCTGGGGGTTTTGTAACGATGTCATCCAGGATCAGCTTTGCCAAGTGTCATAAAAGACTGACACTTAGAGGGGCAATATCATGTAAAATCAACTTTTTTTAGCTTTATATCATGTTATAATGTTATACTCTCATAAAAAACACACCCAAAGCCTTGCTCTGACTCATTCATGCATGTTTGAGAAATCCTGCAGAGTTTTTATGAAGCCATGCTGAGGAGCAAAACGACAGGTGGGGACCAGAAACGCCTTTTGGTACCAGAAATGCCCCTGGAACGTGTCTTTAAGCCGAGCTTCCTCAAGGCAGAGCACACCCACCCACCTCCCCACACACCCCGTCCATGACTCCTGCAGGCTCTCGGGTGCAAGTGAAAGTGAAAACTAACTGTCTGCTGCTCTCAACATTAGTTTTCACTCAGTGAAGCTCTTTTCAAATTAAAAATACCTTTGAGGAAATGTTTTTTCAGATGCCAAGTAAACTGCATCATAGCACACGCGCAACCCCCCCACCATTGAAATGGGCGAGACAGAAGTCAAGCGGTTCTTAATGAGACAGAGGCCAATTTCAAGACGTTTAGAAGAGGAAGTGATGAGAAGATAAGTTTATTTTCTATTTAAACATAAAAACAGCATTTTTAAGAAAAAAATATTTCTCTTTGATCCTTGATTTTCTATTTATTTTCTATATAGTTGTACTGTTGGTGCTCGTTTCCATTGCTTGATGGTTTTAGAGTATACAGATTTAGTTACTGATTGATTAATAATGAATACAAGTAACCAATGGTTAGAGAATGCCATTTTATACTTATGAAAATGTTATCCAATTATCTCAAAAAAACAAGTTATGCTCATTTGTTGCACAATCATTGGTTTTCAGGGTTTCAATATTAAACCAGCAGAAAAAAAATTAGAGCATTTTTTTCTAGACTAAAATGGTAACTTCCCTATTTCATCACCAATCTAGACCAGTGTTTCCCAAAGTTGGGGTCGGGACCCAAAGTGGGGTCCCGAAACATCAAGGTGGGGTCCTGAAAAGATTTTCTGAATTAATGACATTTTTGCCTTTGTTGTTACAAAGGAGTGAGGTTAGTATATTTAAAATGGATAAATGTAGTGTAAAATATTGTTACAATGCCCATGTTTAGTTGACCTGATACAAATGTTTAACATCCAAAAATAGTTGTGAGCTCAGGTCTCTGCTGCTGTTATTTTGTGGATCAAAAGCTGAAAAGTTTGGGAACCATGGTTTTAGAGTATACAGTTTTAGTTATTGGTTGATTAATAATGAATACAGGTAACCAATGGTTAGAGAATGCCATTTTATACTTGTGAAAATGTTATCCAATTATCTCTTAAAAAATAATAAAGAAGTTATGCTCATTTGTTGCACAATCATCATTGGTTTTCAGGGTTTCAACGTTAAACCAGCAGAAAAAAAATTAGAGCATTTTTTTCTAAACAAAAATGGTAACTTCCCTATTTCATCACCAATCTAGACAATCTTKGTGTCAATCTCAGTTGTTTCAAAATCTATCCATTGCACTAGTAAAATGAACCCATGGATTTGTGTCAAACCTAATTAAAGCTGTTAATTTCCTCCATGTGTCCATGTTACAAATGATTTAAAAAAAAGCAGATTCATTAGCCCATTTTCTGTTCATTATGACTTCTGTCATATTTTACTCAAATAAAAAGCACAGATTTGAATATTAATAATGCCACTTGTCAGGCCACAGGCACTGAGATGATCACACAGCACTTTTCCTGGTTAAACCCACCWCCCTGTGTGCAATGATGGAGACCTCTGTAGCACTGGATGAGGCAGAGAGCAGTTTCAGCACCAAACAGGCGTGGACCAGAACAAAAGGGCGGCGGCACCAGCATCCCCGGCTACACCTTCAACCGCCAGTAAAACRCCTGTTTCAGCGCCCAGTAAAACTCCCATTCCCTTACTGGAAAACATTTAGCACAAAATGCAGTTTGAAGCGGGAAAACTCGCGCTTCTAACAGGTAAAATTCACACACGACAAAATCACACCGCGACAGATGGACTTGGCGACAGAAACCTCTTTTTTTTTAAAGACTCTTCCAGAAACTTTTGCGCCTGCATGAGCTGCGTTGTAACGCTCYGAACTCGCGTTTCATTCTGTTTTTTTAGTCATGAACCCTGGTTTTCTCCGTATTGAATTAAAAAAACACTGCTTCGGTTCTTACCTGGAGGTTGAAGCTGCTCTGCGGCTCTCCTGATGCCCTCAGCGGCGACAATGAAAGCTGTAAGGTCGGGTTCTGTAGCTCCGCCTCCTTTGTAAACTCAACTACCGTAGTGGCTGGAATAGGAACGCACGCGGATTCTGTGAGAAATCCGCAGCATCTTTAAGGGGCGCATTTATGCAACAAATTCAGACATTATATTTGATGCTGCAGCGAGAAAAACGAAAAGTCTTTTGTAGGGAAGAAATACAAAACAAAACTTTTTTTTTCGTAATATTAATGGTCTGAAAGACAGAAGAGCTCAGTCCCACCTGGGTGTGGCTGTTGCTGGGGAAAGATGCAGCAGAAAATRAAGGAGGTGAGGCGTGGCAGAGTTTTTTTCGCTACATGTAAAATATCAAAAGCTTCATGTTTTCAAATAAGAAACGGAAAAATTTGCAAAAAAAAAAAAAAAGCTTTTTCAATAATCGCCTCATATTCAACAGACGGCTTTTCACTGCTATACTGGAACCAGTTAGGTTTTGCTCTGCCGCCATCTACAGGTGAAAGGTCAACAGTGCAACAAGGATGCAGGCCTCTCAGCGTTTTCGTATTGTTAGCAAAATATCTCATGAAAGACTGAACAGATTGTAATGAAACGTTCGGAAAGAAATCAATGGACAAACATCTACGACTGATTAACTTTTGGGTCCAACCCAATTCAAGATGGTCAACASAGCCTACTGAGCTTAGAAAACACAAAAAACGGACATAACTCAGGCAATTTTAAAGATTTTTAAATAAAAATTGGCATGGTAGTAGCTGATACTGTTTCCCAACTTCAATCTTGAGCACCAACAGGTGGAACAAGAATGGCATTTAAAAACTTAACCATTAACTGTTGGAAGTCTGTGTCCTGATGCATCTCAGTAATCCAGGTAAAAAATCAAAAAGAAAAAAAATTGTATAGGTCTTCTGGACGGGTT